ATTTGCGATTTTGGGGGTCCGAAGGTTTTTCTGCAAAAAACCTGCGACTTAGTTGCGCGGAGTGTACAAAACACAACGCACGCAAAATGCAACAAACCGCACACCAATTTCGAGGGTTTTGACCGATACAAAACTGTCACGCAAAAGTTGCATTTCCGTCAACATTTTCGCTTCATGCGGTGACGCTCGGTCGACACGGATTAGAATGTCAGAACATTATAGCTTATGCTATTGTGTAGGCTATAGTGGGGTATTCCATATGGGGTACAACCCAACTAGGGTTTCATATTTGTACTCGCTTCATTCATAGTTCACATCATTTTCGTTCTAATCTTCTCATGGTATCGAGCAGGTTCCCCCGTGGGAACTGTGCCTAGGGCCCACCACATCGATCATTTTTTTTTCCTGCCCGAAGCACGCTCGGCCCGAGTCGCGCTCCGGGCTCTTACGTCGTCGAGCCGCCCTAGCGGCCTCCCCACGACCTACCAGCGGCCCCGCCGCCCTTTACTGCGGCTCGCGCCGCCCCTTCCCTGCGGCTCGCGCCGCCCTACCCGGCTCGTCGGCGCCCTCGCGCCGCCCGTCCCGGCCCGTCGGCGCCCTCGCGCCGCCCTTCCCAGCCCCGCGCCGCCTGTCCCGGCCCGTCGCCGCACGGCCCGGCGGCTCCCTAGCGGCGTCGCGTGCCACCCTTACCCGCGGCCCTACCCGCCGCCCTACCTGCGGCCCTACCTGCAGCCCTACCTGCGGCCCTACTGCCGCCCTTACCTGCGGCCTTCCCGCCGCCCTACCTGCGGCCCTACCGCCGCCCTACCTGAGGTTTAGCACTGTGAAAATGTTTGTGAAATGTAACAGCCGAACAAATGAAACAAAGCGACACCACGAAATCAAGCGAGTTTGTGCAGCTGGAAACCCGCTTCTCGTTATTCCAAAATCTGAACCCAAACCAACCCACTCCAAGCCTCATACACCGGAAGGCTTCTTCATTGGTGTAACGTGTGACCCTGAAAATCATTTTCATCCAATCCGCACACGCTGAAATATACACGTCAGCCAACCCAACCTAGGCAAACCAAACGTCCAACGAAAACGCCCTCACCTTCCCACGAGAATCTTTCTCCCACGATTCCCCTCTACGCAACCAAACTTATTCCCCCCCCCCCCCCTTATTATCTTTTTCCCTTCGACGTTCACCAGATGCAAGCTCCAAGTACCTTCAAGCCGATAACTATGTTATGTTTTAGAACGTCCTGACTATGTTGTGTTCGCCATGTCAGTATCCTATTTTTTTTTTTCAACACCGTCCCTTTTGCACAACTCTCCCCTTTTCATACGGCAGCTTCCTTCCGCCATCAGCGTCGCGCTGTAGTAGCTGCGCTGGCTGCTGGGTAACACGTGCGTCACGGCGGGGAAAGACATTGTCACGCAACATCGCAGGTACGTTTACAGTTCTCATCTTGCAGGTGAAGCTGTCCTTATGTTATTTTATCGTGCAGTTTTAATTTGGAGGTATCTTCAGGTTCATACTCCTCTCAATGTGACGTTTCCTATCTTCGTTTCGTGCGTAGCAGCCATCGTCGCGAAGATCGATATGTTGCGACTAAGGCAGTCGAAACAGCATACCAAGTCAACGGATTTGGTCTAGGGTGTCAGCCTTGGGCATGCACCCAAGTAGCGACACGATATCATCAATTTTTTGCCATGTGGCCACGCGACGATTGCTAAGACTAAGTATTTGACCTTTGGTGTCTTACAAAATCTGCCTTTACTAACCCCGCTGTCGCGAAGTCAGCGGGATGCGAAACAGCACCCTGTGTTTGAATATTTTGCAGGGTGGACCTGGTTTTGCAGGCATACCGTCAACCACATGCACAGTTTGTTTTATTTTAGCCATAAAAGCATTTTTCCAAACCACCAACGATTATTTCAGGTGAGTACGGAACTGCATACATTGCGTTTTTCACGAGCTCTTACTTCCTATGCTATCTTGCAGGTAATCTCAATAAACACGAGCAACTCGTTACGTTCGTGTTTTTACTACTTGGGTTCGCTTTGTTTGTCAGTTTTGGATTAGTATGTCTTGTGCGATTGAGTAGATACAACTGTTGTTTGTTCTGTATAACGTTTGTTACCTTTTTACTGGTACGAAAATCTATGTGCTAGTATGTACAGCTATTACTGTTAAGTGCGTATCGAAACCGACGCTACTGGAAATTTTGTCAGCCAATAAAAAGCTGGAAACGCACACCAAAAACGGTATATGATTGGGCCATTTGTCACGTTTACTTCCGTCGATCTTAATCTGATTCGACGGTCGACGTTAGAGTACACTGACTGCCATGTCAGCATGTCGGAGTTTCATCTCGAATACGTCGTATGCCACGTGGCGTTGTACTTACACTTTCGCATGGGTTGCTCGAAAGTGACGTTTTCCACCTCCGTAGTTGCTTTACTGCATACCAGACAATTGCATCGAAGTGTATAGTTTGTGTTGGGAATGTGATGGGAAAGTCACTTTGCAAGGAACTGACGCTACCACCGTTTTCGAGTCAAACTTTTTTCTTGCGCGGGAAATGCAACTGGAAAGTTACGAGGCAGTAACTTTTCAGTTGTTTTTCGCATCTCCCTTTTCCGCGATGGGGTTGGTCTGGGCGAGTAGGATGGCGTGGAGTTGGGCGGTAGGGCGGGTGAGTGCGTCGGCGATGTTGGATGCGCCTTTCTTGTACGTAACCGTGTAGTGGAAGTTGGACTCGAGGTAGTCCAACCAGCGAATCTGTCGTAGATTGAGATTCGGTTGGGCGCGTAAGTACTACAGTGATCGGTGGTCTGTCCGTACAGTCACGTCGGCCCCAGTCAGGTAACACCGCCAAACCTTGAACCCATGCACGATCGCCAACATTTCGCGGTCGTGTATCGGGTAATTGCGTTCGGGCGAGTGCAGGTTGCGGGACTCGTACGCGATTGGCTGGAGGCCGTTCCCGAAATCCTGCAACAGTACTGCTCCCACAGCGATGTCACTTGCGTCAGTGACAAGCTTGAACGGACGATGTGGATCTGCGATGTGAAGCACGAGCGGTGAGCACAAAATGTTTTTGAGGGCCGAGAAGGTAGCTTGCTATTTCTCCCCCCGCGTGTACTCAACCCCCTTCCTCAGCAAGTCAGTCAACGGGGCAGTCAACTGCGCCATGTCGGGGACGAACCGGCGCACGTAGTTGGCGAACCCCAAAAAACTCTGCAACTCGGTCAAGTTGGTCGGCGCGTGCCATGCTTGAATCGTCGCAATTTTCTTCGGGTCTATTTCCACTCCTGCAGTTGAAATAACGTGTCCCAACAACTCCAGGCGGTCCTGTAAAAACTCACACTTAGACGTTTTTGTCAGTAGGCGGCTCTCACTCAAGATTTTAAAAACTGCGTCGATGTCTTGTAAGTGCTGTGCTCTGTCAGGGCTGTAAATCAGTATGTCGTCCAGGTATACTATGACGCACTTATCTACGAGTGGGCGGAAATCTTCGCTCATGGTGATTTGAAAAGTGGCGGGGGCGTTGGTCAGTCCGAAAGGCATGACGGTGTATTCAAAGGATCCGTAGCGTGTGCGAAATGCGGTCTTAGGGCAGTCGGGTGGGTTGACGCGAATCTGGTGGTAACCCCCTCGGAGGTTGATTTTCGAGAAAACCCAGGCTGTGCGCAGTTGGTCGATCAGTTCATCGGCTCGCGGGATGGGGTAACAGGATTTGATCGTAAACCTGTTCAGTGCTCTGTAATCTATGCACATGCGAAATCCCCCGTCTTTTTTCGGTGTGAACAGTATCGGTGCTGCGAAGGGCGACGAACTAGGGCGGATGTCAGAACATTATAGCTTATACATTAGTGTAGGCTGTAGTGGGCCATAAGGGGTACAACCCAATGAGGGTTAGTACTTGTACCCAACTCTTTCATAGTCCAATCATTCTCGTTCTCTTTTCTCATGGTATCGAGCAGGTTCCCTAGGGGAAACTGTTCCTAGGGCCCACCGACATTTTTTTTTCCTGCCCGAGGCATGTCCCGCCCCTGCCCGAAGCGCGCTTAGGGTCGCGCCTTCCCTAACGGCCCTGTCGCGTCGCCCTTAGCGGCCCGTCTCGCCGCCCTTAGCGGTTCCGTCGCGCCGCCCTTCCGGGCTGCGTCGCGCCGCCCCTTCGTGGCCCCGTCGCGCCGCCCCTTTTGCGGCCCCGTCGTACGGCCCTCAGCGGCCCGTCGCCGCCCTCCCCCAGTGGCCCGTCGCCGCCCTTTCACCTGCGGCCCCGTCGCCGCCCTTACAGCGGCCCCGTCGCTCCCCTTGCAGCGGCCCCGTCGCCGCCCTCCCCTTACGGCCCATCGCCGTCCTCCCCTTACGGCCCGTCGCCGCCCTTACAGCGGACCCGTCGCCGCCCTTACAGCAGACCCGACGCCGCCCTTACAGCGGCCCCGTCGCCGCCCTCCCCTTACGGCCCGTCGCCGCCCTTTCAGCGGCCCCGCCCCCTTCTTCAGCGGCCCCGACGCCACCCCTGCAGCGCCCTCGACGCCGCCCCTTCAGCGGCCCTCCCGCCGCCTCTTCTGCGGCCCCGTCGCCACTCACTTCAGCGGCCCCGCCGCCCTTCGCGGCCCCGCCTTCCTTAGCGGCACAGCTGCCCAGCAGCCGAGCCGCCGAGCAGCCGAGCCGCCCAGCACCCGAGCCGTCGAGCCGCCCAGCAGCCGAGCCGCCGAGCCGCCGGGCCGCCCAGCAGCCGAGCCGCCGAGCCGCCCAGCAGCCGAGCCGCCGAGCCGCCCAGCACCCGAGCCGCCAACAGCCGAGCCGCTCAGCAGCCGAGCCGCCGAGCAGCCGAGCCGCCCGAGCCGAGCCGCCGAGCCGCCCAGTCGCCGAGCCGCCGAGCCGCCCAGTTGCCAAGCCGCCGAGCCGCCAAGCCACCCGAGCCGCCCTGTCTTGTAAGAGAAGCGCCTCTGTCACTGCACTGCCCTTACCCTACTGTTCGCGCTGCTAGTCTACTGCCGTCATGGCTACCCCTAGTGTCCTCGCTTTTGACGCTGAGGGTCGGGCCATTGACTTTGACGTCTGGGTAGATGACCTACAGCTTTTCCTACAGTGCGATAGGGCAGACGGTCTCTCCCTCTTTGACCTCACCTCAGGTGCCTCTCCTGCCCCTGCTGCTGATGCCGACGCCACTGTTCGCTCACAGTGGGCCACACGCGATGCTGCTGCACGTCTTGCTGTGCGTCGTCACCTGCCTACCTCTGAGCATGCGCACTTTAGTCAGTACAAGAGTGCTCAGACCTTGTACGACGCTGTAGTTGCACGCTACTCCTCCCCTGCCACTGCTGCACTGAGCCGTCTCATGCTACCGTACCTCTTTCCTGACCTTGCTGCCTTTCCCACAGTTGCTGACCTCATTACGCACCTCCTCACTAGTGACACTCGCTACCGTGCTGCGCTTCCTGCTGACTTCTCCGCCAACCCCCCCCCCCCCCCCATGTACATCACTCTCTACTACATAGTCACTCGCCTCCCTGACTCCCTTCGCGTAGTCAGGGACCACTTCCTCTCAGTCTCTCCCACCACTCTTACTGTTGACCTACTCGAGAAGTCCCTCCTAGCGGCCGAGAAGAGCATAGTCGCTGTAGGGGCCTCTCGTGGTGACCCGCGCACCCCCATCTTTGAGGGGTGTTCCCCCTCCCCCCTTCTGCCCTCTGTTGCCTCTGCTGCTGCGGCCGACCTCGTTGGGCTTGAGTCGGTCGGTGCGGCGTCTACCCCTAGCGGGAGACGCCGCCCTGGCAAGGGCAAGGGGGGCACGGGCGCTGGAGGAGCTAGCGGGGGCGGTGGAGGAGGCGGTGGAGGCGTTGGAGGGGGTGGGGGTGGCGGTGGGGGTGGTGGCGGGGGTGGAGGTGTCGGTGGCGGCAGTGGAGGCGGAGGCGGAGGCGGCGGTGGCGGTGGGAGCGGAGGTGGCGGAGGTGGCGGCGGTGGAGGAGGCGGTGGCGGTGGAGGTGGAGCTGGTCGGGGTGGCGCTGCGCAGAGGGTCGGCTCAGGTGGTGGTCAGCGCCAGCAGCAGCAGCAGCGCACTCGTGACATCCCCCCCCCTCAGCACCTCCATCAGTGGTACGCTGCACGCCAGCGAGGTGGGGGTACTGGTCCATGCACCTACGTCCTACGCACCGGCGACCGCGCAGGTGAGCAGTGCGGGGATGCGCTCTCCACCCACCGCTGCTTTGGCCGCCTGACGGACGCTTGGCGTCACCAGTTCCCGGAGGCCACTGAGATCCCCCGCTGGGGCGAGCTTTCTACTACGGGAGTAGCTGTCTTTGACCTTAACTTTGATGCTATTCTTGCTGCCATGTATGCTGTGACTATTAGTGATGAGGGTGACTGTTACTGGTCTTTTTCGCCCGACCCGGGCATTGAGACTGCTGCTCTAGGTACTGGTGAGGCTGCTGCTCTAAGTGCTAGCGAGGCTGCTCCTCTAGGTGCTCGTGTGTCTGCTCCCTCAGGTGCTGGTGAGTCTGCTCTCTCAGGTACTGCGTCGGCTTCGGCCTCCCACACCTTCACCCTTGACTCGCGGGCTTCTCGCTCCTTCTTTCAAGACCGCACCACACTCACGCCGCCTGGCCGGCTAGTTGCAGTCTCTCTGGCAGACCCCTCTGAGGGTACTGTCCTTGCTCACTACTCCACTGTCCTCTCGTGTCCGGTGGCCCCCTCTGGCACCCTGTCTGGTCTTTACCTCCCCTTGTTCTCTACGAACTTGGTGAGTGGTGCTGACCTACAGGATGCGGGGGTTCACCAGCTCACTCATGCGAGTCAGCGGGTGACCCACTGCACGGACGCTCGGACAGGCCGACACCTAGCCACGTTTACACGTCGGCCGGGGCTGAGCCTGTACACACTAACCACTGCGTCTCCTCCAGTCACTGCGTTTGGTCAAGTAGCTGCGTCGCGTCAGGTGTTTGCTGCAGCGTCCAGGTCTGGTCCTGAGTCTGCCCCCTGCTCGTGTCGCCTCGTGTCTCACGAGACTCTCCTCTGGCACCACCGCCTTGGTCACCCCTCCCTGCTTCATCTCCGAGGCATGGCCTCCCGTGTCCTTGTCTCTGGTCTTCCTCGGTCCCTCCCTCCCCTTCCTTCTGGGCCTGGCCCTACCTGCGTTCCCTGTGTCGAGGGGCGGCAGCGGGCTGCCCCTCACTCCTCCGAGTTTCCTCCGACAGAGGCCCCGCTCCAGACGCTTCACATGGACGTGTGGAGCCCGGCCCGCGTCCATGGACAGGGTCACGAGCGCTACTTCCTGCTGGTTGTTGACGACTACTCACGTTACACCACAGTCTTCCCCTTGCACAGCAAGGGTGATGTCACTGAGGTGTTGATCGACTGGATCCACGCAGCTCGTCTCCGGCTCAGGCAGAGCTTCGGCTCGGACTTTCCTGTTCTGCGTCTGCACTCGGACAGAGGCGGAGAGTTCTCCTCTGGCCTTCTGCGAGCTTACTATCGTGCACAAGGCATCCGCCAGACCTTCACGCTTCCGGACTCTCCACAGCAAAATGGGATTGCTGAGCGCTGCATTGGCATGGTCATGGATGTAGCTCGTACGACCATGATGCATGCGGCTGCCCCCCGTTTTCTGTGGCCGTTTGCGGTTCTGTACGCGGCGCATCAGATCAACCTTCACCCCAGGGTCTCCATGCCGGAGACCTCCCCAGCTTTGCTGTGGACGGGGAAGGTTGGCGATGCGTCGGCGTTCCGTGTCAGGGGATCTTGGGCGTTTGTTCGCGGCTTGTTTGAGGACAAGCTATCCCCTCGTGCTGCTCCTTGCGTCTTCCTTGGCTTCCCCCTTGACGCGCCACGGTTGCAGTTCTACCTCCCCACCTCTCGCCGTGTTCTATCCTCCCAGGACGTTACGTTTGACGAGTCGGTCCACTACTACCGCCTCTTCCCCTAGCGCACTCCGTCCCTCCCCCCGCCACCGCTCTTCCTTGTACCAGGTCCCCCCCCGGTAGACCCCCTCCCCCCTTAGGGTCCTGCCCCTTCAGGTGTGTCCCAGGTAGACACAGCCGAGCTTGTCGAGGTTACTGGTGACTCTGGTGCTGCTGAGGGTGCTGAGCCTGGGGGTGCTGACTCTGGGGGTGTTGAGCGTGCGGGTGGTGCGCCTGGGGGTGCTGAGCCTGCGGGTGCTATTACTGGGGGTGCTGAGCCTGGGGGTGCTGAGCATGGGGGTGCTGAGCCTGGGGGTGCTGAGCCTGGGGGTGCTGCGACTGGGGGTGCTGAGCCTCGAGGTGCTGAGCCTCGGGGTGCTACACCTGGGGGTCCTGAGCTTGGGGGTGCTACGCCTGGAGGTGCTGAGCCTGGGGGTGCGGAGCTTGAGGGAGTTGGGCCTACTCGTGTGGCGTCTGGCGGTGCTGTGCCTGGAGGTTCTCCAGGTGATTCGTCTCGACGGGAGCCCCTCTCTCCACAGGAGCTGCGTGAGTGGTTTGCTCGGCGCTGGAGGCGTGCTTTGGAGCTAGAGGTTCTTTGGCTGCTGAGGGTGCTGGTGCCGCGGAACCTGGAGTTGCTCGTACTGGGAGTACTAGATTTACTGGGCCTGCGGGTACGACTGGAGCTGGAGCTGCTGAGGGTGTTGGCGCTGAGACTACTGGTGTCGGTCCTGGAGGCGGTCCTACTGGGGGTACTACTGGTGCTGCTGGAGGTACTGGAGCTGGAGGTGCTCCTCGCGCTGGTGCTGCCGCTGGGGGTGCTAGTGCTGTCCCTGCCGTGTCTGGAGTCGCCGAGCGGCCTCGGCCGTACTTCGTGTGAAAATGAACGAGAATGAATGAACTATGAAAGAGTTGGGTACAAGTACTAACCCTAATTGGGTTGTACCCCTTATGGGCTACCCCACTATAGCCTACACAAAAGCATTAGCTATGATGTCCTGACACTTCGTTCCGCTCCTTCAGCAGGTTCTTGGTCTCCCGCCTTCTACTAGTCCTCCTCCTCCCTTAGAGTGTCCACAGCCTGTCCCGTCACAGTTCCAGTTACAGCCGTCCTCCCAACTGCCTGCTCCTTCTCCCTACACTGGTCCTACTGGAGGTCTTGCTGAGCGTCGTGAGCCTGCATCTCGCCCTGCGTCGCCTGTCCGTGCTGCTCGCACTGGTGGTCATGGTTCGCGTCAGCGTCCTCCTCCTGTCCCTGGCACGCACCGGATGTCTCTGCGTCCGTCCACTGCTCCTCTGCGTGCCCCTTTGCCTTCTCCTCCTAATTCCTCTCTTCTTGCTCTTGCCGACCCGGAGTCAGACTCTCTTCGTGCTGCCAGTCCTACGGTCACGCGTCTCCTTGCTACTATCGTCACTGACCCTTCCTTTGAGTCCACTGCTGCGTCTGCCCTAGATGCTGAGCTTGCAACTTTGCTGCTCGCTGTCGTCTAGACTACGCTGCTAGTCTCGTCGCTGAGTCTGTCTGTCCTCCGTTCGTCAAGGGTGAGTGTGCCCTTGGCACGGACGTCCTTGAGGACAGGCAGGAGGAGTTCCAGTGTTTGGCTGCTGCTTCACCTTATCTCGTGTCCGTACTGCTTACCCTTGAGGGAGACTCGGATGCACTTGACATCCCGACTCCGCGCTCTTACGCGGAGGCGATAGAGGGTCCCTACTCCTCTCAGTGGCAGGCAGCTATGGATGCAGAGATGGCTTCTTGGAAGTCCACAGGCACCTACGTTGACGAGGTTCCCCCGCCTAGGGCGAACATCGTCAGTGGCATGTGGATTTTCAGGGTGAAGCGGCCGCCAGGTTCTCCGCCTGTCTTCAAGGCGCGTTACGTGGCTCGTGGCTTTAGTCAGCGGCAGGGAATCGACTACTTTCATACCTTCTCTCCCACCCCAAAGGTGACCACTCTTCGGGTACTGCTGCACATAACTGCTCACCGCGAGTACGAGCTGCACTCTCCTGACTTCAGCACTGCTTTCTTGCAGGGCAGCCTGCACGAGGAGATGTGGTTGCGTCGCCCACTTGGCTTCACTGGGTCTTTTCCCCCTAGCACCCAGTGGAGCCTCCGGCGGCCAGTCTACGGTCTCCGCCAGGCCCCCCATGAGTGGCACGTCACAGTGAGGACTACACTTGCGGCTCTTGGGTTTGCTCCTTCTATTGCCGACCCGTCGCTGTTTCTGCGCATCGACACCTCTTTGCCGCCGTTCTACATCCTCGTGTACGTCGACGACTTGGTCTTTGCCACTGCTGACACTGCTGAACTCGCCCACGTGAAGTCCGAGCTGCAGAAGAGACACACATGCACAGACCTGGGTGAACTGCGCAGCTACCTTGGCTTGCAGATCACCCGGGACAGAGCACGCCGCACCATTACCCTGACTCAGTCACACATGGTGCAGCAGGTCCTTCAGCGCTTCGGCTTCACGTACTCCTCGCCTCAGGCCACTCCTCTGCCTACTCGCCACTCGCTCTCAGCTCTGCCTTTGGATGAGTCCGTAGAGTCGATTGGCCCGTACCGAGAGCTTGTTGGCTGCCTCATGTACCTGATGACCTGCACACGACCTGACCTTGCATACCCTCTTAGCATTCTTGCACGCTATGTTGCTCCTGGGAGACACAGACCGGAGCACATGGCTGCAGCGAAGAGGGTGTTGCGCTACTTATACAGTACGTCGGGCATGGGGCTTGTACTTGGAGGGCAGAGTCCAGTGGTCCTCACTGGGCATGCAGACGCTTCTTGGGCTGACGACCTGGCTACGTAGCGGTCATCACAGGGTTACACCTTCAGCCTTGGTTCCGGCTCTGTTTCGTGGCGGGCTACCCGCTCGTCTTCTGCTCTCGGCTCCAGTTGTGAGGCTAGGATCTACGCTGGGGCCATGGCTGTACAGGAGCTTCGTTGGCTGACCTACCTACTAACTAACCTTGGAGAGCCGCCTCGTTCTCCTCCAGTGCTGTACGTAGACAACAAGGCCATGCTGGCCTTGTGTCGAGAGCAGAGACTGGAGCACAGAACGAAGCACATTCCTCTCCGCTACTTCCTTGCTCGTGAGCTAAAGCAGCGTGGTCAGCTGCGACTTGCGTACGTGGCCTCTGAGGCCAACACTGCTGATATCTTCACCAAGGCACTTGCGCCTTGTGATCATCAGCGCTTCTGTACTCAGCTGGGTCTTGTGCCTACTTTGCCTCACTTGCTCATTCCTGGACCTTGTTTGTACTGTTGCATATATATATATATATACACCTGCTCTTGCTTGTCTAGCCATATAAATATATATGTAATCCTGCATGTGAACTGGCCTTGTGGCCTTGAACTTGTGCTCGGAATGTGTGGTGACTTTGTGATCCACCCTGAGCTTGCTTTGCTTTACTTTGCTTGACTGGTCTTGTGACCCCTTGTTCTCCCCCACTTTGCTTATGGGGGTGTGTCAAAACATTATAGCTTATACATTAGTGTAGGCTGTAGTGGGGTAGCCCATAAGGGGTACAACCCAATTAGGGTTAGTACTTGTACCCAACTCTTTCATAGTCCAATCATTCTCGTTCTCTTTTCTCAGCGGATGAATTCCTTCGCGAGCAGGTCATCGAGCAACTTCCTTAGTTCGTCCAGTTCGGGCTGGGTCAGTCGGAACTGTCGCTGTACTGTTGGTTTTGCCCCCTGTTCTAACTCTATCCTGTGGTCGTGCGGTCGCTGAGGTGGCAGTCCCGTTGGTAAATCGTCCGGGAAAATGTCGCTGTACTGCTTCAACAGTGCTGCAAGATCACTCGGTACGTCGGCCAGAAGTTTATGTAAATCCCCTCCTTTGTCTGCCGCCTCCGCTTCTTGAATGTCGACCGCGTACACGTTTGCTCCTGCCATTACGGCGCGTTTCATCGTGATCGCATTGACACGCACCGACGAAGACTCAGGTGAGCCCCAGCGAGGTAAGGCGATGTTGTTACCGTTCACTCGCACGGTGCAGTCACCCGTCGCCCAGTCGATTTGCGGATTGTATCGTCGCAACCAATCACGCGCTAGCAAAATATCGGTTCCGTCGAGGGTCGTGGCGAGCATTTCGTGGCTAAACGCGAAGTTACCCCCACATCGAATCCGAACCCGGTCTACGCGTTCCTATATTGCCAGCGGCGTCCCGTCTACCAGTCGTGCGTCGATCTCAGGTAAACATTTGTCCAGTGGCAGTCGCAGTTTTCGTGTTGTAGCGGTGTTGATGAGGCTGTGGCTGGCTCCCCCGTCTACGAACATTTTAACTAAGCCCGTCCCGATTTTCCCACTAAGCAGTATGGGGCTGTCTACCGTAGTCTCCTCCTTATTCGGCCGAGTGTGGTCGATTGCGTGAACTGGCACAATCACTCGGTGAGGGTCGGTTTGGTCGGGCGAGCGGCGTGACGTGTCAGTAGAGGGCCCGTCTGCTACTGACTCCTAGCGTTTCCGTGCTGCTTGGTCTGTTTCTGCTGCTCAGCTTCCCCCTTCCCCTTAGCGTTTTCCGGGCATTCGCTCTTGCGATGTCCCAGCCGATTGCACGCCAAGCAGCGCCCTTTGAACGGTGCGGCAGCGGCATTTGCGGCGACGGCACGTATCGTGGCGCCTTCGTTGGTCCCATGAGGCCGATGTCCCCAATGGCTGCTTTCGTAGGACCCCGGTCTCGGTCGGCGGAAGAAATCAAGTTTCTCCGCCATAGCGAGAATTTCTTGAAAGTCGGTGACGCCGCGAAGCTGGATTTCCTGAGCGATGTCCTGCTTCAGGCTGCCGATGTAGCGGTCGATGCGCTCACTCTCGTGCATATATCCCACCTGCTCGCATAGCGCCAGAAATCCACTCGTGTAGTCTTGGACGGAACCGAGTTGGCGCCAAGTGCGGAGCTTCTGTCGCGCTACGATCAAAGCTGCGATTTGCTCGAAACAAGCGCGTAGACCTGCGCACCACGTTTCCCACGTGCGATATTGGGGCACCTCCATGAAATACGACAGCGCCCAGGGTCCGGTTTGTCCTTCCCGTGTCGGTAGAGTCGCGTAGTCCACCGGCTTCGTGACGATGACGCGCCACTAGTCCATGGCGGGTCCTCGCAGCAACGACACGGCGTATCGAATCTTCGCCGTATCCTCCGAGACGTAGTTCGCGTCGAAGAAGACGTTCAACGTGAAGAGCCACGCCTGAACGGTAGGACCACCCCGCTGACTTGGGTCAAAGCATGGCGGACGCTTCAGCTTTAGCGGCATCGGCGACGGAAGTGTAGATTCGCCGGCCGGCACTGAAATCGTGACTCGAGGTTGAGTCCTGGCCGCATTCGTCGCGTCGGGGTGTGTCGTGCCGTGGTCGTCGTCTCCGTCATGGCGGACGACGCCATCACTTGCGGCGCTCGCGGGTTGCCCCACACTTCCGTGCTGTGATGTCTGTGGTGCGGGCTGAATCGGAGTGCCAGGTGCTTGGGATTGTGCTCGTGTGAGGTCGTTTTGTAGGGACGAGCGTTCTGCCGTCAGCGTCGCAATTTCCTCGGCGCTCTCGCGGATTTGTCGCCGCAGATCGTTCAAGTGCTCCTGGTGAGAGTCGTGACGTCGATATGTTCAGCCATTTCGAAGGGCGTCCGCTCGTCTTAGTCTAGGCGCAGTCGTGGCTGCACGCGTTTACGAGAGAAGCGAGGACAGCGGCTCCTAGGTGCTAAGGTTCGTGAGTCCCGTCGAGTGAGAAATCAAAAGTTGATTTCCTGAGGTGCGGAGATGCGCGGTCCGAAAGAAAGGGGCTCTGAATACCAAGTGTTACGGGTGCAATGAATCGAAGTAGCGAAAATTGCACTACGGTGTCAAACGAGTTCCAAATGTGAGCGAAAGCATGAGCGAACATTTATCCACGAAACATGCAAACGGTGACGCGGTGCGTGCGAGCTAGCTAGTGCTACGCTGGAGCGAGGCTCGGGCTAGTCCCGAAGCGTAGGCCGGCACGGCCATGCCAGCAGTGCGAGGTTTGGTGAAAACAGTGTGCGCGGAGTCGGCGAAGCCCCATTAGCAGTAACGGGCGAACAACGGCTGTTGCTGTACGCGATGTAGTCCGGCTCCGTAAGGAATGCCGAGAAAATTCCTTACAAGTCCCCACATTATACATAACCATGGTACCATATACCGTAATTGATGCCAGCATCAAGGAGTGTCCAGGGGTGAGTTCATTCTCTTTCAAATCTGGGCTGAAATTGACAGGGTACCCACGTTTGCAGTACAGCGACTGTCATGTGTCCTTCAAGTTTAATGAGCAGCATTTAGCAACACATCTGCATACTGCAAGAATTGGAATGACAAAAGGAAACAGATTTTAACAATGGTGAGAAAACATGTGGTAGCAATTCTAAGTGCACAAAATCCAAGGACATATAGATGAACGAAGCAAATAAAGCTGTCATTACCTGGAACGCATCTGGTTGCAATCCAAACTTCCTCGAACGCATCTGGCTGCAATTCAAACTTACCTGGAACGCATCTGGTTGCAATTCAAACTGCATCAAATCAAGGGCAACGTCGCAGCTCTCTGCTACAATCGGGTCTGGATCCTTCTGGAACTTTCTTAGAAGCTGCAGCGTCAATGGGTCTGCAATGCACAAAAAAAATCTCAACACAATAAACATCAGCACACACACAAACCCCTTGCGTTTGGAATTAGCAGGCCTTGATCACGCCACCACAGCAAGCATGTGTTTCCTCACCTGCAACCGAGCCTAGAGCCACAGCAGCTTCGTGCCGAACCATGGCGTGGCAAGACGTGTCTTCTAGCACCCTGACAAGAGCCTGGGCGGCGGTTTTGTTCTGTAGCTGGCCCAAGACATAGGCTATCTGATGAGTAGTGGGGGAGGGCGAAAGGGAGAATGGATTGGAGGAGAGGGGATAGGGGACGGATCCCCCCTCACTGCAACAAATCTCAATCTCACACCACACTGCAACAGATCCCACCACACCACAGCGCAGCATGTCTTACCACACCACAGCGCACCATGTCTCACCTCGTGCCGCAGCAGAGCACTCGAGCAGGTCTCAAGAGCTTCAACAATCGCAACGATAATGGTGTTGCTGTAGGGGTACACCACATCCAACCACATTCAACCACATCCAACCACACTCAACCACATCCAACCACATCCAACCACATCCAACCACATCCAACCACATTCAACCACATCCAACCACACTCAACCACATCCAACCACATCCAACCACATCCAACCACATCCAACCACACTCAACCACATCCAACCACATCCAACCACACTCAACCACATCCAACCACACTCAACCACATCCAACCATATCCAACCACACTCAACCACATCCAACCACATCCAACCCAATCCAGCCGTACACCACACCACACCATGCATCACCTCATGTCGGAGCAGGGCACTAGAGCAGGTCTCAAGAGCCTCAACAATCGCTACCACCGCTGCATTTGCACCCCCACCATCACCACTGTTACCACCACCAGTAGCACCACCAGCAACATCGGCAGCACCAGCAGAATCGGCACCTCCGTTGCTAGTGGCGGCTGCTTTGTCTCTCAAAGCAAAAAGAGCTCCATAACGATCGTACATGTCTGCGTCTTCTTGTAGAAGAAGCTTCCTGGAAGCACACCGCATGAAGGAAAACAGGGACGGAACCAGCATCATCACCAGAAGCAAAAACAGAAGTTTCGGCATTGCTTGTGGCAGCTTCTCTGACGGTATATTCTAGGCGTCTCAGAATTGAACTACTGTCACTAATGTATCCACCCTCGCGCGCGCGCGCGCGCACACACACACACACACACAGCAGCAGCAGCACAGCATGGCACATCCATACACACAATCTAACTTGATAGAAGTACCTGAGTTCCTCTGTGCTCGCGTTCTTGGGTGCACTCCCAGCAGGATCAACAGACAAAAACCGCTTCCCCTCTCCCTCCCCTTGCACCTCACCCTCATTCTCCCCCTCCCCCTTCTCCCCCTTCCCCTTCTCCTCCTCTGCTCCCCCCTCCCCCTTCCTCTCCCCCTTTTCCCCCTCCTCCGCTGCAGCTAGGCTGTCCTGTAGCCGCCGAACCGCCAGCTGGCATGTCTCCCGAACCTCGGGCGCAGGGTCGGCGAGATAGGCTTGGAGAAGAGGGAGGGAGGAGGCTTCACCAACGGCGCCCAGAGCCTCTGCTGCCTGCAACACGGGGAATATGATTCAGTGCAGTGTGGTGCAGAGCGGTGAATCCGAGTTTATAATTTGATTTCAAGTTCCGACCTAAATTCATGGGGAACAGTGTGCTACAGAAGGAAAGGAAAGGAGTTCTTTTCTATGCTACCCTGAGAGCTAGAGCCCTTGCTGCTGGCGGCACAGGGAGTGTGGGGGTTGAGAAAGGGGGGTGGGGGGGGGGGAGGAGAGATGGGAGGAGGGAGGGCAAGGGACTGACATGGAAGGCAGCGAGAGGATGGGGAGAAGGATTGAAAAAGAAGAGAATGGGGAGGAGGGGGTTGAGGGATCCGAAGGGCCAGGGATTTTTATCTATGAAACGCAGAGGGAAAGAAAAGAAGTGTGAACGATTTTACACACTGACCAGGTTCTCACCTCGTGTCGAACAATGGGATGGTACGACGAGTCCTTAAGCACCCGAGTGAGCGCAGGCACCGCAAAAACATCACCCATCTGCCCGAGAGCAAATGCTGCCTCGTGGGCCAATAACACCGACTTTTCCTCCATGCCTGGGAAGGTGAAACGAAAAAAATCCGGGCAGGAAAAAAAATCCACTAAAAAATTGCCTGTAAATGAAATGACAGAGTGAATGGCTAACCTAGCTGCTGCTGTCCATTCCTGAACCATCAATGACAGCTCCGTTAGGCACTTGTAAGCCAATTCTTTCAGCAGCCACCATCATTTCACAAGTAAGTGCTACGATATAAATGCGAAACTCATAACTAACGCCCGTCCTAAACCTTAGACCCGAAACCCGGAAACCCTAATACAGTTTGGTGCCGTTCGGTGCAGTGCGTTTCGTGCAACAACCAGCACACAGCACCAGGTAACGTACGCAGAATTTCCGACGGACTACTACAGCACGCGGTATCCCCGCTAGTGGCATACTCGCCTACCTTCTATAAGTGCCTGCTGCGGAGCTTCCCCCTTGAGGTTGCGCAAAGAGAAGAGCGCGCGGATGCGCTGCTCTATGGGCAGCGCGCGGTCGAGCAGCCGTTGGCGCAGCTCCGCCACGACTTCCCGCGCATCCGCGCTAGAAGCTGGTTCGTTATCAACCGCCATTCGCTAGCAGGAGGATAAACGGATCGAGGTGGGAAGGCAGGAGGAATGAACGGCTAAGGTACTTGATCCTGTTCGATGCTATGACCAAAAAGGAAACCAAGAATGTAAAAAAACACTCTTGTGAAAGCTTGCTTTCTGCAACTTGTTAAGGCATCCTGCTTCATTTCATATGGGTGTGAGTACATCTATCTCGTCCAATAATAACTACGATTACAGCAAGAAACTTAGAGACAATTACTACATGGGTGGGTGGGTGGGAAACTCAAACTTCGAAATTGAAAAGAAGAACGTGGGTGAGGCCGAATGGCCTCAACCCCCTCTTTTGTAGCCAAAAGAGGGCGAGTAGCGATGCGACGCTGCCTTTGCTGCGTTGGCAATCGCTACACTTTCACAATACACAATTTTTGAAAAGTGTTGCACACTTTTAAAAAATTACATATTGTGAAAGCTTGCTTTCTGCAACTTGTAAAGGCATCGTGCTTCATTTCATATGGGCCTTCTGAGACATGCGAGTGGTCGGTTGGCGATGCCGCTGGATAGACAATTGGTGCTGGTTCGGGGAGGGAGCCCGTGTAGGATCCTGAATCAGCTGGGATGCAGCGACCGGCTTGTCGTGAGCGATGGTGACGTAGAGGTCTTTTGCTTTGTCGCTGCGCCAACGGCCCAACCACTTGAACATCCTGTCTGAGACTCCGATGTCTGCCGCTGTCGTTGCTGCTCCTTTGCGGAAGGAGTGCGTGCCAAGGTGGTTGGCGTCGAGGCCAACTTTTTTAAATGCTTCCAAGTACCAATTGCGGACAGTTGGGTAGGAAGGCGCGTGGTCGTGCGGAGTTGCTTTGGAGTCACGTGTGAGCACCCGTATCAGTGGTCCTTTGGTCGAGGCGTCATAGCCGGCAAGCGAGATGAACTGTCTTGTGATCTTTACTGGGCAGTATGGTCAGGGTGTAGTCGCGATTGGGACCCATATTCCCTTGCCTTCTTTGTCCATTTTGGAGTGGGGAATCAATAGCCACATCGCCGCCTCCTCAAACTGGATGTCTTGCCACTGAATTGCGACGAGGTCCGAGGAGCGGAGAAAGCCCGTATACATGAGTAGTAGGATGAGGGCTTTCTGGAATACGGGGGGAGTGTCGGATGCGATGAACTCGTGTGTCATCTGGTGAACCTGGTGAAGAGACACGGGTTCTTTAGTCCTGTTTGGACGCGGGGAGTGGCGCTTGGCGAATTCTCAGACTTGGGAAGTGAAGGGGCCGTTTGTGGGACAAGTAAGGCCAGTCATCTTGTGTGCAAATGCGACTGGTGAACATGTCAGCGTGATGGCGGACAAGGTAGCGTGCTTGTTGAGAGCGTATACCAGGTACAGCGCGAGTGTCAAGTCCGTGGCGGGTAGGTAGCTCAGTGTTAGCTTGTTACAGAATGATCGGAATTTTCTCCAGTAGGGGTCGTAGGTGCGGATTGTTGAAGGCGCTCGTACTTGGCTGATTACCGAGAGAAGTTGGTTTTGAAGGTTGGATAATATCTCTGCCATACATGAAATATATATGAGTTACATTGTAAAGTCAATGGACAATGCAATAATCGGACTATTTGGAAATCCAGTCCCTGAGAATGCGGCAGTGTGTGTGCCCGGTTGGAGGCACTGACTCCCGCTTGCGAGGCGAAGGTGGCTAGTAATTCCTATGGCCCATGTTTGAGGAGCCAGTTGCACTAGGGGCCACCAGGCTGCCCCTCACCACTCAGGGATCACCAGGGTTAGCTTTGCCCGTGATGGAGCGTTGCAGGGACGAGGTGGGGGGGCGGAAATGCGAAGCCCCGTTCCCCGTGCCAATCCTGGAAGAATGCGTTGATGGCCTCGGCTCGCGAGTGAGGGACTTAAGAGAAGAAACGAGGCAGCAATGCGTTCTGTGCATTTGCGAACAAGTCGACAGAGTGAGGCCCCCACCGACGGTCCAAGAGACGGAACCAAGGTTGTTTCAACGTGTAGTCGTCGTGGTCTTGCAGCTTTGAGAGCTCGTCCGCGCAAGTGTTTTGACCTCTGGGAATCCATTCGATGGTTAGTTGCACCTCGTTGTCCGTGCATAGAGTGATGATCTCTTTGCAAGTGAGCGTGAGCTCGTTATTGCGCGAGCCGCCTTTTCGTAGGATGAACATGATGTGAGAATAAGCGAACAGGAATGAATGAACTAGCAGTGAAATAAGTACAAGTAGGAAACCCTAGAATTGTGTACCCCCTATAGGCTAACCCACTGTAGCCTACACAAGCATAACATATATAATGTTTGACACACCCCCATAGGCAAAGTGGGGGAGAACAAGGGGTCACAAGACCAGTCAAGCAAAGCAAAGCAAGCTCAGGGTGGATCACAAAGTCACCACACAGTCCGAGCACAAGAGCAGGGCCAGAGGCCAGTTCACTTGCAGGAGGACAGACATATATATAAAACTAGACAAGCAAGAGCAAGTATATATATATGTCACAGTACAAGTGAAGTCAAGAGGAGAGCAAGTGAGGCAAGACAGGCACAAGACCCAGCTGGGTGCAAAAGCGCTGATGGTCACAAGGCGCGAGTGCCTTGGTGAACACATCAGCAGTGTTGGCCTCAGAGGCCACGTACACAAGTCGCAACTGACCACGCTGCTGCAGCTCACGAGCAAGGAAGTAGCGGAGAGCAATGTGCTTCGTTCTGTGCTCCAAGCGCTGCTCTCGACACAAGGCCAGCATGGCCTTGTTGTCTACATACAGCACTGGAGGAGAACGAGGCGGCTCTCCAAGGTCAGTCAGCAGGTAGGTGAGCCAGCGAAGCTCCTGTGCAGCCATGGCCCCGGCGTAGATCTCAGCCTCACAACTGGAGCCGAGAACTGAAGACGAGCGAGTAGACCGCCACGAGACAGAGCCGGAACCAAGGCTGAAGATGTAACCCTGTGACGACCGCTGCGTAGCCTGGTCGTCAGCCCAAGAAGCGTCCGCGTGGCCTGTAAGGACCACTGGACTCCGCCCTCCAAGCACTAGCCCCATGCCCGACGTACTGCACAGGTAGCGCAATACCCTCTTCGCTGCTGCCATGTGCTCTGGTCGGTGTCTCCCAGGAGCAACATAGCGTGCAAGAATGCTCAGAGGGTATGCAAGGTCAGGTCGTGTGCAGGTCATCAGGTACATGAGGCAGCCAACAAGCTCTGCATACGGACCACTCGACTCTACGGACTCATCCGAAGGCAGAGCTGAGAGTGAGTGGCGAGTAGGCAGAGGAGTGGCCTGAAGCAAGGAGTACGTGAAGCCGAAGCGCTGGAGGATCTGCTGCACCATGTGTGACTGAGTCAGGGTAATGGTGCGGCGTGCTCTGTCTCGGGTGATCTGCAAGCCAAGGTAGCTGCGCAGTTCACCCAGGTCTGTGCACGTGTGTCTCTTCAGCAGCTCGGACTTCACGTAGGCGAGTCCAGCAGTGTCCGCTGTGGCAAAGACCAAGTCGTCGACGTACACCAAGATGTAGAACGGCGGCAGGGAAGTGTCGGTGCGAAGAAACAGCGACGGGTCAGCAGTAGAAGGAGCAAACCCAAGAGCCGCAAGCGTAGTCCTCAGTGTGTCGTGCCACTCACGCGGTGCCTGGCGGAGACCGTAGACTGGCCGTCGGAGGCTCCACTGGGTGCCAGGAGGGAAAGTCCCAGTGAAGCCAGGCGGACGGCGCAGCCAGATCTCCTCGTGCTGGCTACCCTGCAGAAACGCAGTGCTGAAGTCGAGAGAGTGAAGCTCGTAGTCGCGCTGAGCGGCTATGTGCAGTAGCACCCGAAGAGTAGTCATCTTCGGGGTGGGAGAGAAGGTCTGAAAGTAGTCAACTTCCTGCCGCTGACTGAAGCCACGAGCAACATACCGTGCCTTGAAGACAGGTGGAGAGCCCGGCGGCCGCTTCACCCTGAAGATCCACATGCCACTGACGATGTTCACCCCAGGAGGGGGAACCGCGTCAACGTAGGTGCCTGTGGACTTCCAGGAAGCCATCTCTGCATCCATAGCTGCCTGCCACTGAGAGGAGTAGGGACCCTCTACGGCCTCCGCGTAAGAACGCGGAGTCGGGATGTCTAGTGCATCCGGGTCTCCCTCAGGGGCAAGCAGTACAGACGCGAGATGAGGTGAAGCAGCCGCTAGACACTGTAACTCCTCCTGCCTGTCCTCTAGAACGTCCGTGCCAAGAGCACACTCACCCCCGACGGACGGAGGACACACAGACGCAGACTCAGCCACAAGACTAGCAGCGTAGTTGAGACGACAGCAAGCAGCAAAGTCGACGAGCTCAGCGACTAGAGCAGACGCAGCAGTGGACTCAAAAGAGGGGTCAGTGACGACAGTAAAAAGCAGACGCGTGACAGTAGGACTGGCAGCACGAAGGGAGTCCGACTCAGGGTCAGCAAGAACAGGAAGAGAGGACTAAGGAGGAGAAGGCAAAGGGGCACGCAGAGGAGCAGTGGATGGACGCAGAGACATCCGGTGCGTGCCAGGGACAGGAGGAGGACGCTGACGCGAACTGCGACCACTAGCGCGAGCAGCACGAACAGGCGACGCGGGACGAGACGCAGGCTCACGACGCTCAGCAAGACCTCCAGTAGGACCAGTGTAAGGAGAGGGAGCAGGCAGTGGAGAGGAAGGCTCCAGCAGGGACTGCGACTGGACAGGCGGTGGACCCTCTACTGGAGGAGAAAGACCAAGAACCTGCTGCAGGAGCGGAACGAAGTACGGCCGAGGCCGCGCGGCAGCTCCAGTCTCAGCAGGGACAGCACCAGCACCCTCAGCGACAGCACCAGCGCCACCCACACCTCCAGCGGCAGGACCAACAGCAGTAGGCTCAGCACGAACGCCCTCAGCAGCTTCAGCTCCAGGAGGACCCGCAGGTCCAGCAGCTCCGGGACCGGCAGCACCCGCACCCTCGACGGTCGAAGAAGCTCCAGCTCCAGCTCCAGCAGCACCTCCAGACTCAGCAGCACGCCTCCAGCGGCGAGCGAACCACTCG